TTCTGTAGCAGCAGAATAGACTAGCATTTTTAGGCTGTGATGACAGAGCACACATCTTTATTTGAAAGAGCATCCCTTTGACACACCAAGAGTTGAGTTTGCACAAAGTTAGGGGTGTTGTAAGCATTTGCTAGTTGCACAGAAGAATCGGCTTTGGTGCTCCCTCCCTCTCTCTCTCCCACCTCTCAGTGTGACTCTCCACAGAGCTGCTTCCTAGGCTCTGTAAAGTGGACCCCTTCTGTGATCGCATAGGCTGGGGAGTCCTGAGCTCATTTTTCCACCAGTAACTACTCTGTCTAGATCCTCTTGACTTTTGGAGCCCATGCTAGGGAGCCTTGCCAGGCCAAGTTTCAGGAAAAGGCACTTTTTGGGAACTGCTGGGGAAATGAGAACATGTAAGAGGATTGAATTGTGAAATCTGTAAAAGGACTACGGCTCTTCTTTGCGGTTTCTTTTAGGCCTGCTCCTCAGTCTTTCTTTCCTTCTAATTCCTTGAAGTATTAGAGTAAAAGCTATTTTAAAAAGCAAAGATTCCTACTTGCACAGAGCTGATACAAGGCTGTGCTTAAATATGACAAAGATAAAAATATTCGTTTTTGTTCATTCGGGCTACTGTAACAAAAAAAACATAGACTGGGTAGCTTAAACAACAAACATTTATTTCTCACAGTTCTGGAGTCCAAGATCAAGATGCTGGCAGATTCAGTGTCTGGTGAGGACCCCCTTCCTGGTTCACAGACAGCTGTCTTCTTACTCTGTCCTGACATGGTGGAAGGTGCCAGAGAGTTCTCTGGAGTCTCTTATAGGGTCACTAATCCTATTCATGAGGGCTCCACCCTCATGACATAATCACCTCCCAAAGTCCCCACCTTCAAATACCATCATCACATTGGGGGTTAGGATTTCAACTTGTGAATTTTGGAAGGGCACAGTCAGTCCGTAATAGTGGTGCATAAGTACTTTCTATCATGTAATACAGTGCAAAAAATGTGGGAAATAATTTATGTGAATTCTCTTCTGAGTTGTGAAACATACGTACTAGTTCTACAAATTTATTTTGTTGCCATAACGGAGCCCAAACATTCCACTTTACATCTCCTATTGGCTTTTATTACAGTACTCAAAATTTTTTTTGCTTTCACAAAGTCGTGATTGGTGTGGTTTTTATAAACTAAGTGCAGTGTACATTTTAGTTCAATGGTTGGATAATTGAGAGTGAATGAATAATGATTGAAACATAAAATTTTAGAACTTAGTACATGCAAGATCTTCTCTGGTTTACTTAATATTAAGAGAGGTCAGTGAAACTCAAAATCATTTCAGTGACTTCCCCAAGATCACTTAATTTATGGCAGACCAAACCAGTTGATGTATCAATACAGCTATTAGTATAGATACTTAAATATTGGCAACAATTAAGGTATTCAGAATATAAAGCTGTAATTTACTAAACAATATTATAGTGCACACAATATCTTATATATAAAATTTCACACAAAATGGACACTTTTACATAGGCTGCAGAAGGATAAGGGCTAAAAGCACTTATTATTATCAGCCTCTCTTTTTTCTGATATCCATTTAGCACATTGCTTTTCACAGGCTTTACAGATTGAGAAATATATATTCCCTAAGTGATCATTTCCCTTGATTTCTATTACTCATTTCTTAAAGTTAGTTTCTAGTTGTGTCAACTTTTGTTATAAATACAATTATTATAGAGCTCCATTGATCTTTTTGTTTTATTTTAATTTGAACTCCCTATTAGCTTTTCTTCTGTTGGAAAAAATAAATCCTCCTGTATCTATGCTGGCAATTACCAAGGAAGTCCGAATCCTTTCAAATGGTGCTTAGTATTTTGAAGCATAAGAGGTATAATATCCAATTTTTCAATTTTGAGGGTTATAATGACAGTTCTATGACTACAGAACATTAACCCAAAGTATACTTACATTTCATTAAGTATCTAGGTCATATAGAAGCATATTGCTGATACTTTCTATTTTAATGGATTACAAAGGGGAAAACAATTTGGGGTTCAAAATTAGAATTCTGAAGATAGTGAAGCATGTTTCTAAGAAAATGCAAGTATTCAGTGTCAACGTTGTAATGAAAATTTTCTATCAAAACTATCATCAATTTTCAGTTCTGTACTTTTTATCTTTCTTATCACTAGTTTCTACCTCACTATTTTTTTTTGGTATGTCAGTGCATTTATAAATATGAACATTACAATAAAAATAATAAAGGGGGCTTCATAATCTTCTTCAGTCAATATGATTCAGTAGAATTTAGATATTTCAATATGAATATTGCCCTCAGACGCATTTTCCCAGGACACTATTTTGACCAGATATTTTCTTTTTCAGGATTTATATTGCTCGTCAGATCAAATTTAAACATGTGTCAGATTTTCAAGATCCTTCATAATCTGTGTAAATCCTAATTAAATTTATTCCATATTCATAAGTGTAATGATCTTTGTGTTTAACTTTAGATTAATTCAGTAAACATTTATTGAAATATTACTATCATCTTCATTCTAATCTTTGCTTCTATGACTTTGCAATGCTAATCTTCTAGCTTAGATGGTTAAAAATAATCTTTATTCATTATTTAAGGCTTATTCATGAAGCTCCGTTAGTCTATTTCATTCTACTATGTACCCACTACTAACAACCATGCACATATAACGCAATTTTTTTCCTCTGAATTACTATTACAGTGTGTCACTTAACAACATTCTCCTGAGTGACCTTGAATTGTGTCATGAATATGAACTTCTCGTAAATTCATTGTCAGTATTTATATTTTAATTCAGTGTGACCTCCAGTGTTTGGGTCACTTCAGGAAAATTTACTACTGTGAGAAATATGAGAGAAAACCAACAATCTTGAGTCAGGTTCTTTGAAACTACTAAAAGATGCAAAGTTTCACTCCACTCTTAAAAATGACCTGGAATATCTCCATAAAATTTTCTAAGTCTCATGTTGCTGATGAATGCATTTATTTGTTTATTTTTTCAATTTATAAAGCAAGAATAAAACAGGAATTAATGAAAAAGCAAGAGAAGAATTTAAATAGTGTATAATGTCATGGTAGTTTAATGAATACCATTTAATGTAACTGGTTTCTGAATTGACGTAAAATCAGTTGATATACCTTTTGAAAAGCCTTATACTAATCAGGTATATAACTTTTCTTTCGTTATATGTAGTCATTGTGGTCATTTCTACAGCACAGTGTGATTTAGTTAACTAACTGGGAATGTAATACCTTCAGATCAGGTTTGGCATACCACATTTCTAACTATTATTCCTTTCCAGGAATGCAACCCACTGTAAAAAAAGAGCTACATTTTATTTTGCCTTTCTTGGCACAGCTGAAATTTTCTGCAGACTTTATATAATTTTTCAACATATCTAGTGAGAGTTCAGGGAACCAGACGTCCTGATAAGCTACCTGACTCGGTTGACATCAGATAAACTTGTCAAAAATGTGTAATCTATTCTCCTGGATCCTGGCGCGTGTATTATCTGTCATGTAAGAGAGACTGTCATTTGTTCTACCTTTGGTGTGCTAGAATCATCCACTGGCTGAGTAACTTCAATTACTTTTTGCAAACAAAAACCTTTATTTATCCTGGTAATGTATTTTTGTTCATTTCCAAAATCTCAAGTAATTTGTTACATGAGACTATCTGGCAAGTTAAAAATAAATTCTTTAGATATGCTGATTAATTTCTTAAAGAACATCATGTTGTATCATAATGTTTCTTTATTTTAAAAATTCCTTTCTAGTTGAAAAAAATTAGTGCCAGACTGCCCCAGACATCCATTTTTAAAAGTTATTTTGTAAAATAAGTTTATAATATGGAAATTTTCCTTTCTTTATCTCAGTGTCCATACATCATCACACCACTCATTATGACATACTGAATGCATTAATTAATATCTGTGGATGTGATTTGGAGGTTTTTCACATATTTGACTTCATAAAGAGTACTCACAAGACATGGGTGAGCTTGTTATCACTAGCTTCTCTTTTCTTCTGGCACCTCATACCATCTGTAAATAAGAAAAAGATCATAAGAGGCCACTAGGATGATTGAAATTGTGCTTCTAGAGAAAATCAGAAGATGTTTCACAGGTTGCTTGAAGAATGTCATCAACTTGTATAATTTGAGCATGGTCCAGTATTTTGTTTTAATATCTTCTTAAGAATAAATAAAAATGAGTTTATATATTATCCATGACTTTCTTCATCTTCAAACATTTGCATTGTATCCATTACATTTCCATGGCTGTTGTTGCCATGTGTCTATTCCCAGGTCATTCCATTTCCTCTCATTTCTTGACAGTTTTTGTTCCTTGGTCTCTATCACTCTTTTCCGCACTACTCCTCTCTCAGTTCCTGGCAATTGCAGTATATGTGTGAGAGATCCTTCTAAAGACCAGTTCCTTGTCCTTCTCTCCTCCCATGATCTTGTCCTACATATACCTCACCCATTGACTTCCAATCAAATCCTTGATAGTATCATAGCCTATAACTGCAGATCCTGTATAACCTGATTCATACATCCCCACCTGACTACCACTTCTACTTATATTTCTGGCTTACTTCCTCTGCTACCTGCTAATATCCAATATTCCTTTATTTAATTTTTTTTTTAACTTTGTGTTACGGAAATTTTCAAAAGTAGAGAGAATAGTATGTAGAACCCTTATGTAACATCAACCAGCTTCAACAATGATCAATTCATTGCCAGTTTTGTTTCATTTATTATAATGTGAAGTAAATACAAAGCAATATATCATTTCATCTGTAACTGTATTAATATGTATATTTAAAAGATAAGACATATCTTTTTATTATTATACTACTATCAACATAAAAAATTAACAATTCCTTAATATCTAACCATCCTTTAACCCCAGCAAGACCTTGAGTTCATAGATCCCACTCCCAGTTCACTGCCTCTCACATTCATGACATCCTCCTTCCTCTCTTTATCTAGTTTCAATCCCGTGGTCAATCATTTTAGCCACTCCACATTACATACACCCTCAGTTCCACTTCCTTCTCTCCCTTTGTTATAGTCTCATGGCCAGAACTACATCCATGGTTAAATCAAACTCTTTGCCTGCCCCATGCTTGCACCCCTGCAGATGAACAAAGTTGGAGAATAACTCACAACCATGTTGATTGGTCTCATTTTAAATTTATGACTTGGTGAGTCCTTAATGCTTCCTGCAATCATACTATATTTCTGTAGTCTATTCCTTTTCCTACCATCCTAGATAAAATTGAAGCATTCAGAAGAGAACTTCCACATCTGCCCTTCCCCCAGCATCTGCACCCTTATACTTGGCCTTCTGGATTGACATTACAGATAATCTTTTACTGGTCTTTCTTCTCTGTGCTCTAATCACTTTAATTTTGTCCTAGATCCTATCTCTTATTGCCTACTCAAAGACATTGCTCCAGAAATTCTCTTCTTCCCCACCCCACCTCCCACCATCTCTTGCATCATTAATTTTTACTCTTTATTGGAGCATTTCATTAGCATACAGAAATGCTGTTATTTCTCTCATCTTAAGACAAAACAAAAATTACAACTTCCCTTGACCCAGCTTCACCCGTAGCTACCTCTCCATTTCTCTGCTTCTTATTGTATTGAAATTACTCAAAAAGAGTTGCCTGTACCTGCTGTTTCCACTATCTGTCCTCCCATGCCTTCTTAAACCCCTTCCAATAAGGCATTTACTCTTACGCTCCACTAAAACTACACTTGTGGAAGTCATCAATAACCTGTATGTTACTAAATCTAGTGAATTCTTAATCCTATGTTACTTGGTAACATAAGGATTTGTGTAGGGTTTGACACACTTGAGTACACCCTCCTTCTTGATACACTGTCTTAACTTGGCTTCTGGGTTGCCACTTTCTCTTAGTTTCCTCAGTCTCCTCTGCTGGTACCTCCTCTTGTCCAAAGGCCCAGTCCTTGGTCTTCTTTTCTATTTGTTAAGTCTCCCTTGGTGATTTGGATTTAATTGTCATCTTTACACCACTGACATCCAGTTGACCTCTCTGGCCGAGACTTCTCTACTCAGCATTCCACTTGGATATCTAGGCCCCTCAAACTTAGCTTGCCTTTTTAATCTTCTACCTAAAATTTAGTGTAACTGTATTCTTCCCTATCTCAATTGAGGACAATTCACTCCTTCGGGTTGGTGAGGCTAAAAACTTTAGAGGCATCCTCTTTTCCCCCTTTTTCTCTCATATCCCACATTCAATCCATTCAGAAGTTCTTTGGGCTCAAACATATCCGGTATCTGACCATTTCTCTTCATCACTGATTGTGACTAGGACCAGGACCATCTGGTCCTAGCCACCATCACCTCCCACTTGAATTGTTCCAGTAATTCTAATTGCCCCTCCGTTTCCACCTTGGCTCCTACTCTTAAAGGCTGTTCTTAACATAGTAGCCAGAACAATCCTTTTCAAACATAAATCAGATCATATTTTTACGTCAACTTAAAAGCCTCTGATAGCTTACAATCTTATTCAGGAAAAAATGCTGAAGGCTTTATAATGCCTTCAAGGCATTGTGATTACCCTCTCTGTTTCTCATTTCATTTCCACTATCTCCTTGCTGTTTCTTGAACGTGCCAGGCGTGCTCCTAATGTAGGGCCTTTGCACTGCTGGTTTCCTCTGCCTGGAACACAATTTCTCAAGATGTCCATGTTGATGACTTCCTCAATTCCTTTTATTTCTTTGCTCAAAGGACACTTTCTCAAAGAGACTTACCCTCAAAGCCCTAAATCTCTCCTTCTTGATTTCCAGGGACCCATGATCCCCCCTTACCCTCCTCTATTTTTACCCAGTAAGCTTATCGTCTTATAGCTTATCACATATTGATCTATTTATTATATTTATTGCATATAGTTTCTTCCCCCACTAGAATGGAAACTTCACAAAGGGCAGGGATTTTGTTCTTGTCTGGTGCATAGTAGGTGGTCATTTGAATGATTTCCCCTTGTTTGAGCATTATCTCACTCACATTGCTTCTCAGAGTCAATAATGGTTCTGTTTCCAATAGTTGACCTGGACTATCTCAATTTTAGGGACATGTTCTTTAGGATATTTATCTCTGCATTTACCTTTTTAATCATATCGCCTTTTTTGTCCATTTTTTTCTTTTGCTTATTCTGTCTGCTAAGCTAATTTTAGGCACATGTATTTAATTTTCTGGTCTTCAAGTCTTCTTATACCCTTTCTTGTCTTTGGCCCAGTCTTAGCTATGTTTCTATTTCTAGATTTTTTTCCTCTGTCCTAGTTCCCCAAGACTTTTATTCTTAACAGCTAGTTCCACAAATCTTGCTTATCCCTGGAAATGTTTCCCCATGAAAAATTGTAGCAACAATTTCCACCTTCTGTCGATCTGTGCCCTCCATCTACCCTATAGGCAACCTTGCTATACATGATTCGAATTTGCCCTTCACACAATAAACTACTGAAAAGCAGATTCCCTTTGACTTAACGCTGGTATGAAATTAGTTAGTTTACAAATCTGTATACAGTCATTTGTTTATTTCCAATATACTTTTTATCCTCTATTTTAGAAAACTGCACAAATATTTATGTATATATTTATATGTATTTTGTATTTAATCATTTTCTACGTTATCCAGTTTTTACTGAAAGCAAGCAATTTCTATTGGGTATCTAAAATTGTTTCGTATTCTTACCTTCAACAGGTTATTGCTTTAGTGATGGATATGTTTACAGATGTGGACATTTTCAAAGAAATAGTGGAAGCATCAACTCGAGGGATATCTGTATACATTCTGCTCGATGAGTCCAACTTTAATCATTTCCTAAGTATGACTGAGAAACAGGGCTGGCAACTTCAGCGTCTCAGGGTAAGAATTCCATGTGTTGTTTTTTTTTTTTAAGTATTTTGTGTACCGTTTTTATCTCAGCTGAATTTAAGGCATGTTAAACTGTATTACTCCAAGTGTAAAACAGAAAAATATATATATATTTAAGGTGGTATAATGATCGATCACAGAAGGGTCCCCTTGTATTTTTCGGAATGTGACTGAAAACATACATCTTCGTGATGATTTTATCTGGTGCTTTTCTTGATGGTGGGGCACTTAAGTTTCTGAGTTAACTTTGCTGCCCGTCATAATTAATGCTTCAATTTTGCATGTGCAACCTTGAAACTGCTGACTCAAGTGATTCTTTCATTCAGTAGATGTTGCTTATCACAAACATTTGGCGTAATGTTTTCAGTTACATTTGACTTTTTAAAAGAAGAGTGTCTTTCAATTTTAGTTATTTTGGCATCATTCTACTAAAATCTAAAAGGATCTCTTGCAGTAGGACCCTAAGTGATTCATGAAACCATTCTGTATAAATGAAAAGTAATATCTCCTATTTAAGTTATGTTAAAATACATATTTTAAGTGACTATTTCCCTTGAGTATTTCTTTTTTGGGTGACGTTTCAAAACTTGCTTCTCGTTATTATTTTTTGTTATGTGTTTTTAAAAATTATTTCAAGTATGGTTGTTTGGTATTAAGGTTTTATATGGACATATATTTTACTTTTCAAAATATCCCCTTTCTAAGCATAATATTTACCTTATATTTACATATAATTCTAGAATATTCGAGTGCGGACCGTAAAAGGCCAAGATTATCTTTCAAAAACAGGAGCAAAATTTCATGGAAAATTGGAACAGAAATTTTTGCTAGTGGATTGCCAAAAAGTTATGTATGGTTCTTACAGGTAAGATCATTGTGTTTACCTCCAGTGTTATCAATCATTTGTAGAATTTATTGTTTCAAATTTCAGTGGAATCTGTTTAGAGGCTGTGCCTCTAAAGAACATTAGGACACTGGGCAAGTCACGTTACTTCCTTGGGCTTCAAGTTCTTCATCCCCAAAAAGTGGGGGTTTGACTACTATCTCAGGTTTCTTCCAGCTCTATAATACTATAAGTGTTTTTACTCATGAAAACAGTATGTAGTATGGACTTAATAACAATTGTTCATAAAAATAGAAGCTATTTATCACTTTGAAGAACCTGTTGAAGGGATTGTTCTTATTTTAGTATTCCTAAGAATCTGATCATTATCGTGTGGTCACTACAGTGCTAACAAGAAGGCATTTAAGAGTCTGGCTATTAAAAATGCCATGGTCGACACTAGACAAGATTACTGAGCCCCAGAGGCTCCTCTCTGGCATCTCTCAAGGCTACCACTGGTGGAATATCTACTCTGTTCAAGCTTGGCTCTTACATATTTCATCCCCAGTCTTTATGACTTATCTGCAAGGCAGTTGTTTTCCTCTACATTTTATAAATGATAAAACTAAAGATCCAGAAGGTTAAGTGACTTGTCTAAAACCCCACAGCTGAGGGCCAGAGGCAGTCCAGGGCTGGCAGCACAGTCCGGGTCAGGCTGGCTCCAGAGTACAAATGCTGCCCTAACAACCCCCTTATAAATCCCAGCACCAGCCCTGAATGGGGTACACAGTGAGGCTGTGTCAACAGGCAGATAAAAACATCCACAAATACATGTGAACTGCTAGGTCACCAGGCCTGAGTAGACTCATTACTGAAGATGAAGGGAGGAAGCCAGGAGAGCTATGGATGTGAACAGGACAGTGTGAGGGGAACCTGTCCTTCTTCTCTTAAGGATTTAAAACATCCACCAGACAGAGGCAGCGTGTCGAAGTGGACAGCTGTGGGCAGGTTACTTAACTTGGTTGTACTTTAGTTTGCTCCTCTGTAAAATGAGTATCATTGTAGAACCTACCTCATGTCATGGTTGTAAGAATTAAATGAGTTAATGCATCCAGGGTTCCTAATGTTAGCTATTATTTTGGGCCTGTTTTAACTGTTAGTATTTGCTAGCTTTCTCTTTAAGCTCAGGGACCCTTTTATGAAAATGCTGTTTGGAGTTCTAAAGGGAAACTTGTTAAGAGCAGAAATTACAACT